GTAACAGTGTCCTTACTATATATATATATATATATATATAGAAGCTCAAGTTACTTTGTTAATCGCGTAATTAATATCTATGGCAATCTATAATTGAAATGCAGATTGTTTATGAGGTAAAAGTTCAAACAGAAAATATTTTTATTTGCTTTAACTGAAGTTAACCACACTAATAAAAATACACTCTACAGTGTTCAGTTTCTCCTATAAATCAAAATTGTTACACAGTTATTATATGAGGAAATTTTTTATCAACTGCTTAAATTTTTAAAATTACTTTTCGTTTAGAGGAGAGACTTAGACACATAAATTGAAAACGGAGTTGTTTCTTCTTTTTATTATTCAATAATTTACATTTATTGAACATTCGATATTCCATGAATTAGTTTATTCCATAGTTTAAATTAATATTGTGCCCTTGCTTTGAAAAATAAACTGCTTACATCATAACAAATTCATTAATTTAATATTTAAATCCACACAAAAGAGAATAATGTCATTATCATTAGAATATGTGATCGAAAAAATCTCTAAAAACGTTTTTTTTTTTTAAAAAGCGTACTAAAATAATAAAATCTACATATTCAGAAAGAAAAATATCTAAGAATAATAACTGTTTTATTCTATTTTACGTTTTTCAGGTGCGGGATGGTTAAAATACACATATTTTTCGACAGTTTCGAAATCACCAATCTGACGTACTATCCACGATATGAGGTAAAATAATGTTGTTTTTGAATTGCGTGAATAATCTGTCTTTGTGTTACAAAAACTCTCTGACACTATTTAAATTCACTTGATTATCATTGTGACGTAGATTGAGGAGTGACGTAGATTAAAGTTTTTGAGAATAAAATACAGTGAAAAAAGCTCTACTCCGATGGAAAATCTAATAAAATAATAATTGGTTAAGATAAGCTTAACTAGCAATTATAGTTAAGCAGTATTATTTTTAATATATCTTGTTTTAAAATAAAAATGTTTATTAGCAATTATTTATTACTTTTTCCTCAAAGCCTTTTTCCAAGAATTCTAGAACAATACTACGAAACTTACGCTGTAAAAAATTACGGTATACTATACCGGCACCTTGGGTACATCGTCCGTGAAATCCAGTTCATTAAATTATATTTATTAAACTAGAGTTTCAGTGATTTTGCTGTAATTATTACTGTATATCAGATTTTTTTTTTTTTTTTTTTTTTTTTTTTTGCTCCTTTACATGTTCCGTTAAAAACGGAGGAAAATCTTTTAACATACGAAACAAGTGGGCTGTTATGAAAATTTATTTTTTAAAAAATCACTATCAACACAATTTTAAATATGGGAATTCGAAACAGAAAAGGCGGAAAAAAAGAATTTCATCCTAAACAGTATATAAGTTTTATGAGTATAAAGAGTAACTTAAAGAGTATAAAGTGTATATTCTATATGAATTCTCATCCATATGAATATTTATCTACATGTATTTTTTTTCACGTCTGTTCTGCAGTTTCATTGTAACAACTGTTTTTCTTACGTTAATTATCAAAAGCATCATTAAAAATAGAACAAGCTCTAAATTATTATAGTTATCTGTCTAAACTAATAAGCATATTTAAAACAAAAATATTACTCTGTTTTTTTATGAATAGTAAACTTTTATTTCATCACTTCAGACTAGCTTATATCTCACCTCCGATTAGTTCTTAGTTGCCAACGCGAAACAAGAAATTTCATCGGGCTTGTGACAAAACTGACATACAAAACCAATGTAGCACCGTAATAAGTGTTCTATGTAACACAAGCTGCATATCCGTTCTTCGTAAGGGATAAAAAAGATATTTATAATAAATTAATTAACACGCTTAACTCTTCGCAATCACGCAAAACCACTAGGCAGAATAAATCAAACTAACTAAAACAATCTTGTTTATTGCTTGACAGAAAACTTTATTCTCTTCAAAAATATAAGAATCTAAAATAACAGTTGGCATACTTCAAGCGCTCAGAAACAGGCTCCCATTTTCAAGCTTTGCTAGACGTAAATGAGAAGAAGCATAAGTGATTTGAAATATAAAACGTAAACGTGTGGTTTTTCTAGTTTTGCTTATGGCCTTATTTTTTCATTTTTTGTTACCAACTTTATGTTTCATATTGTAAATCACTTTTGCTTCTTCTCATTCATATCTGGCAATTCTTAAGAATTGACGCCTGTGTTTCAGCGCTTGAAACATATCGACTGTTATTTATAATTTCTTTATTTTTAAAACGAATGTAGTTTCTAACCCATTCAGTTTCTTGGAATTATTTTATTTCATCACGTTTATTATTTTTTATCATTTTCGTTTGTTCCTTTTAATGTGGTTTTACGCTATAAAATCAAGACATATCAAAAGAAAGGTTAACTAAAATCAGGATAATTAGCCATCAAAAATAAAGATCTTAATCGTGTCACGATTTACCGCAAACAAGCAATTTTCTCTATAAACTTGTACTTTAGTACATAAGTTACTGTTTTATTTCAAATACTATTTATTACCTTTACATTATTTGAATTTATAAAGAAAAGTTTTTGAAGTGTAATTATAAACGAAATAAAAATGGGATTTGAGATAATTTTCTAACTATTAATTTACTGACTTCACCTGTTATTGATTTTGAAGTTGCTTGCCTGACAGCATAACATTTAAAGAAAAATATCTGTTAAGGAACGAGCAAAAAATTTATCGTGAAACCCGTTTATGATTAAACAGAGCTGTACGTTACCTAACATCACTGATTTCACCTTTTAAATAATTATAAAACAGAATCATCTGCAGTTCAATTTAAAGCAATGCTTAATAAAGAAAGAAAAGCTATGAGAAAATTAAATTTCCGAAATTTAAGGATCCTTGCACAAGCAATTCTAAAGTAGTAAGACAGAGGCGAAACACAGAGATCTAAAGATACACATACAAACTAATTCTTTTATTTTCATAGATACATATAATTGGATTTCTTTTACAAGTTATTTACACTTTCAAATTTTAGAAACATATTGTTGCTTTTTTTTAAATAATAAGGTTTAAATTTCAGATTGTTCAGTCATTTAGCTCAGATTACTAACATTAGTTCTTTAAACATTCAAATTTATCAAAATTTTGCCATGATTTTTTTTAAGCATAAATATTCCTATACAAAAAATTTAAGAAATTCTCAGTGTCCATTTTAATGTTACTTCGATAAACTCACTAGAAACTGCGTGTTTCGGACTAAATAAAACTACTTTAAAAATATATTTTAACTATTTTTATATATAAATGAAAATTTTCGGAGAATATAACGCCCATATGTTGATATGAAAACAGATTTAAAAGAATCCTTCTATTAAAAAATATTTAAAAAATTCACAAAATGTCCATTTAAATGTTACTTCTATATATAAACTGGAAATTGTGAAATTCGGACTAAATCAAACTATTTTAAAAATATTTTTCAAGTATTTTTAAATTCATAGGGGTATTTTCAGATAATATGGGCCCATATTTTAATATGAAACCAGTTTTAAGAAGATCCTCTATTCAAAAATTTTTTTTAAAAAAATCACAAATTGTCCATTTTAAGATGAAAGCCGATTAAACTTTTCAGTTCTTTTTTTCGAACGGCATCGTCAGAACAGTTTGGTGGGGAAACGCAATGACGTGGAGAAAAGGGAGATTAGTGGATACCATGGCAAAAAGTGGCGAAATCTTAGAACTTTTAAAAGCCTATTCTATTAACGAATGCTATAAATAGTTATTATAATTGCTGCAGACAGTCATTTATATTTTTAAAAATAGTAGTAGACTACTTTTTTTGACACCAAATCTCAGCAATTTTAAAAGTTCTTACGCTAATAAAACAAGAAAAAATAATTCCAAAAAAACTCTTTTCAGTCTCTGGAATTGGTCAGTGTAATTGGAGGATACTTGGGAGTGTGGCTTGGAGCCTCATTGGTAGCCGTTTATGATTTGATTGGTGAGTCACTTGTAAGGATCATCAACCGTAAAAAGCCTGGAAAGCATATTCCATCGAAAATCGTGAAGAAGTTTTCATCAAAGAAGGAAATAGCATTTTTGTCTAAAATACCGAAAGTCTTATAAACTTCGAAGACGTATTCAAGTTTACTTACCAAAAGGTTTCATTATACCAGTGATTTTATTAATATGAAAGATCTGATGAAGAAGACAGCAAAATGATGATTTCTTTTTACATATTTCAATCCTTTTTTCATTAATAAAATTATACTACCAATGTTATTTTTCTATTATTATTATTATTATATTTTATAAAAGAAATGTATTTGTTTTTGTATGTATTGCAACAAAAAAAGACACATTACGATATATTGGTGCTGCTAGAAGACCATCTACTCTTTGAACTCCTGTACCATATTATCCAAACATACATGATAGTATCCAAAAACAATTCAAGAGAAGATTTTGCAATATGAATGGCGGTGTTCTCCTACAGAAAAATATTTAGGGTCTCTTTGCAAATGGCAGTAAGGGAGATTTTTTATTTAGTGGGCTATAGGTAGTCTTTATATGGCTGATTGTAAGGAATGAATTGAGTGAGAGCTGTAAGGCAAATATTCACTGTATAGATGAAAAGGTAACGATATACGTACAACACAAAGCACTTATTGACATTTGATAGCAAGAAGTGCAATTTATTTTCTTTTGGACCTCCTTGTTGAAAAGGATTGCACACCGGTAAGACACATTTTCTTAGAAAAATCGTAGGCGTTACATTTTGTTTTGCTGCGTAAAAATTATAAGACTCAGAATTTTAAAATTATTGAGGTGCGTAGAAAAATTTACATGAATTACGATGAAATGAAAATTTCAACGTTCGAGAATTATTAAATACTTAACTTGTATGAGAAATGGCATACGTACCGCTCTATAGGCCGTAGAATTGCAGCAACAGAGTTGTACATTGCCCACTTTTGTTCATGAACTTAACACTAGATTTTTTTTAAGAAACTGTAATTTGTTTGAAAGTTATTGCAATATAAATAGCTTTTTATTCGAATTTTTTCCCCATTTCATTTGTTTTACATTACATTTTAATGTGCCGTGTTGTTGTTATTATATAATGCCACTATCCAATTAACCAACAAGCCTGCTTGGTGAAACCAAGCGAATTTAAGGCAGAGGGTGTTTTTCTTGTTTTCAGTGATGCCAATAATGGCCCGGAATACGTCTTCAACCACGCACATCACAGCCCGTTTTAAAGCGAGAACCTATTCATTCATCCCCAGATCGTAATTTTGACCTGAACCAGAGAGCGATAAATTTCCAATTCATTACCCCCAGAATTATTTATTTGTTATGGGAAATTGGACTTAGTGACCCGACAGAGTTAACGTACAATAGTCACCATTTAGTACACGGGGAGTCTTCGGCCGGCGGGGACGACTTCACGACCTTACCAACCAGGATATCCCGGCCTTTATTGCGCCTCGTAAAAGCAGTAAGACTGAAAAACTTGAAATTCCTAACGTGTGCAGAAAAATATACAATAAAATTAAAAATTTAACTTTTGATGATTAGTTCGAGAATTACTAAATATTTAACTTGTATGAGAAATGGCATACGTACCGCTCTACAGGCCGCAGAATTGCAATAACATAGTTGTACTACATTGGCCACTTTTGTTCACAAACTTAATATTAGAATTTTAACTTGTTTGAAAGTTATTACAATATAAATAGATTTTTACACGACTTTTTTCCCCATTTCGTTTGTTTTACAAGACATTTTAATGTGCCGTGTTGTTGTTTATCTAACGGCACTTACCAATAAATCAAAGAGCCTGCTCGATGAAACTAAGTGAATTTAAGGCAGAGGGTGCATTTCTTATTTTCAGTAGCACCATCCATGGCCCAGAATACGTCTTCAACCATTTAGCCCATTTAGCCCATTTAGCTTCAGCCCATTTTAGAGGGTGAACCCATTCATTCATGCACGGATCGTAATTTTGGCCTGAATCAGAGAGCTATAAATTTCCAATTCATTAGCCCAAGAAGTATTTTTTTGTTTTCCGAACTTGAACTTTGTGACCTGACAGAGTTAGCGTGCACCAGTCACCATCTAGTACAAGGGGAGTCGTCGGCTGGCGGAACGACTTTACCACCCTACCAGCCAGACTATCCCGGCCTTTATTGCGCCTCGTAAAAGCAGTAAGACTTAAAAACTTGAAATTTCTAACGTGTGCAGAAAAATATACAGGAAATACACATTGATTCTTATTTTGAGAATCATCAAATGCTAATTTGTAGTTTAAAAAACAACATGTTGGCTGGTTTGCTGTCACATCCACCGAGAGTCAATGCCTCTCAGTAAGTTTTTGACGCCTTCCTCTGAAATGCTAGGGTGCGCGATAATCAGGTTTGTATTAGGAGAAAACAATAAGATTTTTTTTCAGTGAAATAAAATATTTTTGCTTTAGCTAACTCACTAGGACTTTAATATTTTCAAGTAGTCAATTTTTAGTCTCTTATCAGGTATCAATGACATTTATCACGTTTTAACTCAAATGAATTTGTCGGACTGTTTGGTGTTTTTATGTAGCAATATTATTTGCATTCCACAACAGAAGAGGATTTAATAAGAAAAGTTTTTATTTCAATTACATGTCACGATTCATCATAACTATTTTTAATATCAAATGAATGAAACTTATCCAAATGCGTCATGCATAAGTTTCTAATGAAATGTCTAATGAAAAATTGGATAAATAAATAATTGGATAATAAAATCTAATGAAATATTGGATTTATTCATAAATCAGAAAATAGGAAATGATCGACTTGAATAAGGAAACGATTACGAGACTAAACAAATTATGCCACATAATGTAAAAAAATAGAATTTTTTTTTCATTGGCCTATTCATGAAATTGTTATTTTAAAATAGGTTTCAAAATATCGAAACGGAGTGTGTAGAGGCCACCAAACAAGATTCTTGGAAAAACAAGTATATGCAAATATTGCGGTAAAACACAAACCATTACACCCCTAATCATTGAGCATCGTATGTTTTCAACACTTCGTGGAACTGCTTTTAACATATAGGGGACCATGGAGTCTTTGATCAGAACTAACAAACAACGGCAAATTAATATATCTGCTTATCAAGCACACATTGGAGGATCAAATGAAGCCTGATGACTTCATGGATCCTCTGTATTATGTTCCATAATTTTAATTTGCTTTCCCTGACTAGTTAGAAATTTTATTTATTACTTTAACTGTCCAATTATTTCAACATTTTAACCTTTTTAAATTAAGATTTTCCCCCAAATTTTTTACATAGTTACTTTTGTTTTGAGACACTTTTGTGTTCTTACTCTGACAGTTTTATTACTTTTCTCAGTGCTGTAATGTGTAACAGCTTACTTATGGTGGATTTTAGCATTAATTTATATTTTCATTGATCTTGTACCTTTTATGCATTAAGTGATTTTCTTTTTTACTTGTTACCCACTATAAAGCACTGTCCCATCGGCTCACGCACTATAAGGTGGGTAGTGCTAGGGTATTGAATTTTAGAATTGATTTGTTCATTTTAATTTTATGTTCAAATTCATGCTGTTGCCACCACTGCTTTGATAATATCTGTCTTTTTAAATAAATGCCACTGGTGCGGCCTAGCTGATCTGCTCAGGCGGCTGGGAGCGTGTACCTGGTGTTCGGTTTGTGGTCCTCAATGGAGGGCTATCGCGGTGGCGAGATGTCTACCCCATGTGCTCAAACAGAGGGTTTCAATAGGTCCAGTTCTTGAAATGGGTTCTAAAGAGTTCTTTTCTACCATCCAAGAACCTTTCATTTTCGTCGGCGACTTCAATGTGCAACACCTTGCTTTTGGATTATCCTCGTTTTCCCCGATAGCGAACATTTTTGTTTCCTGGATTCTGTCAAATAACATTACCATCCAGAACACAAATACTCCTACCCATTTTGGCCAGCATCATCTACCATCTTTAGTCGATCTTACTCCTGTATCCCCTGATCTCTTCCATAAATCGTCCTTCTCAGTCTTCTCGGACTCTTTCGAAATCGAGCATCTTCCAATACTTACCAAAGTAAACTTTCATTAAGTGACTCTGGCTCCCACCATTCTACCAACATATGAAAAATGCCGTAAACTTCATTGTTCAGGTGGTTTCTGATAAAGCCTTTAAATCAATAGATATAGAAATTATATGCTATCCCGCCGCAGTGAAATCTAATCACAGTAGCAAAAAAAAGGAAGAAAAAAATTAACACCTGTCCTATTCCATGACTCCATGTCGGGACCAAAAATGTACGTATTTGTTAGGTTAATAAGGTATATCTTTGAGGGAAAGCGATAAACGAGTCTCAACCACCCTTTGGCTCAAAAAGAAACAACTCTCAGTTCAACTTTGCCAATACATTAACAGTAGAAAAATATCTCAGTGAGACAATATTCATTTCAATTTAGGAATCTCAAAGAACATTCAACTTTGCCCCATTTATTATTTCATAATCAGTAAATACAAAGACAGGCCGCTTAATTATAGACGAAGCAGTTTGGGGTCCAGAAGGGCCTAACTGCTACGCCAAAATTCTTTTAAAAATTATGGAAGATTATAGATCATGTACTAAATTGACACCAAAGCTTATATCTTCTCTTAATATTAATCAATAAATTTGAAACTTGATCACGTATTTCTTATATATCGTATTTAACCTCCACACCGAATTCCAAATCCAAAGACGAATAAGGGGCGGAGCCAGGAGGCCCAATATGGCTACAGACAACTCCTTTTGCAAAGGTGAGAAAATAAGAAATGATGGTTCCATGTTTATTAAAGAAGTGTCAAACAGCTAATCTCAAGAGCACGACTTAGAATCTCATTGGTGGGCTGTTGTATGGTATAAAAAGATGCTAATTATTACCTGTTATATTTTTCTTTCATTACAGAATTAAAATCATTTTTTTCTACTTTTTTTAACAGTATGGAAATTTTCATAATATCTATATATATATTTCTCTTACACGGCACCAAAAAAAAGCCTCATTACAACTCCCGAATGGCAACGTCAGAAAATCGACCAATAATTGCGGCTAAAAATGTCACATGGCAAATCTAGGTGAGGTGGCTCAACATATAGCGCTTTTAAAAACGGAAACAATAACCAGAG